AACAAAAGCTTATTTAAATTTGTAGAATTAGCAACGGGCTTTTTCGTGCTTTTATGAAATTTTACTGAACGCCCATGCACGCACGAGTTAGTGCTGACAGCAGATATTCCGGCCCGTACCCGCGGGCTTACAAAGGGGCCTGCCGAGCCCCTGCCAAAAGCCCGGCCAGTGCCCATCTCTAATTTGTGGGCGCCCTCTGTCGTAGTTTTTCGCTATTTCACCCACGGGTTAATAGAGTAGCGGTAGCGGTTCAAAAGTAGCGATTGACTCCAGCAGTACTGGAGGGTAGGTATCTCATCTATACATACAAACACATACACATATTTTTTATAAATAAAAATTGAGGTTCTTTTCGGTCTAATTTCGAAAGCCACTTAAGAAATTCTGAGGAGAACTGGTACTTAGAATTAACACTAATCAAGCCGGTTTTAACCTTCATTATTCGATTTTGAGTTTTCCTGTAAATTCGCTATAAATTTTGCTGTGTGAAAAAACATGTCGAATTTCGACAGTTGGTCGATACTAGTATTAGTTAATCGTTCATTTCGCTTGGTTAAATATATGCACCGGTAAAGCATCTCGAGCATTTTCGATGGTGCTTATATCCGCAAAATACTGTATACATTTCTAATTTCAACTGAATCGGACCATTATCACACCACCTACTGGATTAATTTCTCACTAAAGCATTTATTTTCGTATATGGAGTATACATTTCGAATTTCAATTGAATCGGAACATAAATAAGTGTTTTCCAAATATCCCGACTCCAGCGGCACCTAGCGGATCTATTTCTCAGCTGACCACAATTACGGCTTTTCTGAATATATTGACTTCAGCGCTACGTACCCGATTAGAATACAACCTTGCCACGGCACCCATGGGTGGACAACGAAAGTAAGGGCGCCCACGACCAAGTGGCGGAGATTCGCACAGGAGAGAGGGGATTGGAGAGCTTTTTGGTCACGGCCCAAACCAACAAACGGTTTTGGTGCCAAATAAGAAGAATAAGTATTGCAATGCGACATATCTAACTACATTGATAAATTTGGATATAGTAAAGCGAAATTCCACGCCCGTGGATAGCCCATAGTTTCAATGTGTTAAACAAAGCTACATATGTAGCGTTTCGATATGTATAAGCATTCATAAATGCTACTAGTATTATTTTATTAACTTTTAAATTGTTATATTTTTGCCACTGTTTCGCATTTCACTATTGCCGGTAGGTGCGCCCGCTGCGCCTTTGTGATTGAATGAATACATATAAATGCTTCACTTGCCAAATGGATTAACTCCATTAACAAAAAGTTAAGAAATGCAATCAAATAATTTAGAATATTTTTTTTAAATCCCTTTTTAATATAAATCCAAATAAAGAATTTTCTTATAAATATTATATAGTATATTATATAAATTTATTTTAAATATAAAAAGCTACAACTACTTATGCTAAGTGGTAATATACTTAAATTTAATATTTTTCAAAAAGTGGAGTTAATCGATTTGCCAATGGAGGCATTCATATGTACTTTCGATTAAGCATAATGCTGCTCAACTGGCGATGTTAATTTTTCTTCACGCAGCTTTCTGAATGTGTTGTTGCCAACTTTCTTTCGATTGAAAAGTATTCGATTGCATGCGACTATTTTGTAATTTTTTAACGATCGGCCGCCCGTCGAGCATTTTATTATTCCTATTGTTTGCGTGCACAAAGCCACATTTGTCTGCGCACTTCAACCACCCAAGTGGATGCCCTCACCTACAGATACCCTCCGAGTAATGAGAGATCGCTGTTGCTGAAATGATTTGATTGGGTGATAGGAAAACTGATTTTTCTTCAAGTTTAAACGGCATTGCTCATTTTAAATTTGTGTTTTCTCTCTGCTCACGCCAATTGCCCATCTATGCTACAGAGTAAAAAAAAACACCATAATAAAATGGAAGAAAAGTAATAAGATATTTTTGACTATTATTTTTTAGCATTTATTTTTTTTTGCTGACAGTGTCTTCCATATAAAAAGAATTATCGAACATAGTTTGTATGGAAGAAACTCT